ATGGAGTCGACACCTTCCAGGGATATATTCGAGGCGAACTCGAAGAACTGTCAGTTCTTCGAGTTGAGCCTTTCGCGTAGGGATATGTCAAACCCGCTAGCTTCGACTCTGATTCTACCTACGAGTAGTGAGTTTGGCTCGACTCTCTGTGTACTTGTGTTTCGACATTTTTAGTTGTGATACCTTTGTGTGTGGACACTCTCGTTCCTTGTGTATGTATGTGTGAGTTGTGAGTAGAGCATGTCAGCGATGTATGATGTATGGCGATACTTAGTCGCACGACAGACACTCACAAATCGAGAAATGGTCCAAATTGTCTCCTATTGTAAAATTTAACGAGAACGAACTCGAAACAGACATACTAATTAATCATCACCTAACACATTTCCTGCTTTACGACAGAAATTTCTATTGATGATACCTGTTATCATCATGAAGCAAATTATAATCGCCATTGAGAAAGCATGTACATCCTTTTCTCTGCCTTTTCTACGAATTATGATGCAATTTGACAGTCGTTTAAAACTATTTACATTTCCTTACTTTGATTGATAACTTGAGATTATTTTGCTAGTAAGTTACATATGCCATAAAATGAAAACGAATCATACGTCGTAATGTAACTAATTTGTTCTCTTTAGATTAACATGGATAATGAAACATAGTTTCCGAACAATGTCAAAATACATCACTATAAGAGTAACTGATAATTAAGTATATAGTCTTCTTCAGTTTAACCTATCTGAATGCATATTTGAACACATTTTGTTATTTTCTATGGATATGTAAACATGTCAACTCATTCTCACTTATCATATTCATCTTGTCATGATATACATCTAATAAAATGCAAGCAATAGATATGAATTTATTGAGAAAGTTCCAATTTTAATGATGCTTTGATAAGTCGATAATAGTGTAATGTGTATAGGTGAGAACAAGCAATGCATCATAATGTGTTATGTATTATTAATATTAGTAATTATATGCGAGTGAGAAAATCATTGTTGATTGGAAATTTTGAACGTATTTAAAGAAAATAAATCTTCCAAAAAACTTATGACTAGGAAAATCAACTAATTCTAACATAATTTGAAATTAATTGTAATAAGGTTAGCAAAGAAAAAGAGCAAAATATCACGAAATGTTCAATGAATGACTGTCAATTGAGTCTTGAAAGTTGTATAGTCAAGAAAGAAATGAGAGAATTATCTCTTATCACGACATCAAATTTTATCATAAGTTTCATTCAAATTTTGTTTATATATATATATATATATATATTGAAGACAATTGCAATTTGCACAACTATGAAATTTTAAGTGATAGCAAATTTCATCTTTAAACTAAATTGAAAGTTGGTATGAAATCAAAATATCATAACAATGGCATACGAAAAATATATGTATATCATTATAAAGTGGTTGGCAGAATTCTTATGTTGTAGAGTATAATTTTGATGAATTTCAAACAATTTATAGGTTATAATAAATAACAAAAATATACAATATACAATTTTCAAGATACATACATTTTAAAAGCATACGTAACAAGGTCTTGAATAGAAAAGAAAATGTAAATGAATAGTTTTCGATTTCCATAAGACTTTTTTTTATACTAAATTTGTTATTATAGAGGTTTAATTTTGAAATAACAAAAGAAAATTTCATTGTAACAACAAATTCATCAAAAAATGAAAGAACATTACACGCAAACACATAACTCAGGTAAAGCATACACTAAATTCTTCTCGTGTTACTTTCGTTGATATTCCATTGTTGTACCTCATTAGGTAATTAGTTTTTATCAATTGGGATAGTAATATTTTGTATACCTTTTTACGTTTGGGTATCAGGTTGCCACTTAAATCCAAAGGACTTATAAGAATGCTGTTGGCATTATTCAAACCGCCTGCACCCCAAGAATGCTTATACGCTCTATACAATTTTAGTTGATTATCATTTAAAATTTTAAAACTAAAATTATATAGTAAATTGATGCTATATACATGAGTAACTTGCTTTCGTCCCCCGGATTTACAAATAAAGACGTAAAGGCACATGCTATCATGGTATAAGTTATTATAGATACCAGTGTAAATTTCCCGTAACCATAACTGTAGCCGGAGAAAACCATTCCTCCAGCCAGAAATGGAACGATAAGACTTTAATAGTCTACGTACACAAAAACACGGGGTTTTATAGAAAAAGTGCAAAACAATGTTCATGAAGAGATACGTGTTATCCTCCTGTAGTGAAAAGCAGAATTCCTAAACCTGATCCAAATTAGTATTAAGCTAATTATAAGTGACCTCCAACGTAAAATAATACTAACATTTTTACAATACATGAGTAGTTAACATTCTACAAGAACAACACATCTAATACAAATTTTAGAAATATTTATAACAATGATGAATGGAACAAAATTTCTTGCTTTTTTGTTATCTTCTATTTTATTTGTATGAATCTTATTTTTTGATTAATAAATTATTAATTAAAAAATAAATAAATATTTATTAATAATTTATGTATGTCAATTTATGTTTTATTGTTTCATAAAAAAGCTCAAGATGATTATCGATAATTTTAAATGAATAAAAATTTTTTAAAAAAATTTTTACCAAAATTTGAATTTATTCGTTAGAATAATTTGATGCTAATGAAACAAAGATGAAGACTTCCTGATTTCAAATATGATATGAATGAACAAAACACATTTTCAAACATTTTAGCATACATATTTGTGATGTTGTGAACTTGAAGAGCAATATAACATTGTTGCCAATCAAAAACTCATTATTACTATAAAAATAAATTAAGATCAATATTAGGCCTTTAATTTCAGGAAAAATTAAATATACAGATTTAACTTTATGATGATTTTATGTTTCCATAAATTATATAAAAAATTCACAATATGGCAAAAAGACTATGAAATTTTTGCCAGAATAGAATAATATGACAAGAAAGTTGATGAAATTATATATTTGGTAAACTTTAATTTTTTCCATAAAATGCTCACATTACATTATTCTATGGTTTCATCCATATACAGTAAGCAATTACTATTTTCTGTTTGCATGGTTTCCTTTCATATATCTATTAAATTTTAATAATAATAAATTAATTATTATATATAAGACTCAACATTCAATTTTCAAATAAAAACCTACAAGTTATCAAATTGGTTTTGATGTATCCAGTCAATCTTGATTTTAGATCAAGGTGTACTAGTCAAATCGACTGTTTATACATGACGGAGCTGTCCACGACATTCATGATGTAACCTTTTCACATACTTTCAATATAAGTGTATAGTTTATATAACTTATCACTTTCAAAGTATTACTTATCACATCTTAACAGTACTCACCCATAAAGAGTTTAGCGCATATATGACCAAGCTTAATCTGCGTTTACATATATCGCACTTTTTCCATCTATATATCCGATATACAAACACAATACGAATCACTCATAACTCGCACATTATAAATATAATTCATATTTCGTATAAGATTTACAAACAATGCACATATAGCAATGGAAACAAGTGTACTGTGTGATATATCTTCGATGACAATCTTCGTGGACTCATCATTTTTTGCAATCATATAGTTTGCTCACATTAAATGCAAGTCTTTTTTATCTACATTGTCAGATATTGTTCATAAAATATAACTATCATTGTTCCACTGTCCCAGCCTAGTCCGTAGTATCAGTTCAATTTTCTCCTCGTATGATTTGATTAGACACTATTTTTATTTATGTTAACGTTTTATGTACTATTCCTCTTTTCATACATTTATTTGTAGGTGTTTCATCTTTTTACAACAAGGATTATGATACTTATTTTTTAGTAACTTTTGTTTGAATATTAGAGAATTCAAAATGTAAATGGTTTGTCTGTTTGATTCAAATTTTCAATAATCTCCGATTCAAGTTTTTGTATATAGAAAACCGAGATGTACTAAAAAATTTATATTTTTCGGTTATCGGGTTTTATAATGTGTGGTATATTATTTAAATAGTTTATCAGAATATTTAAAATCAACTAATCCCATCTTATATATATATATAGAAATAATATGTTTTGCATTCAATTAACTCAACTTCATTTTGATTGTATGCAAGATCATTAATATTTTTTCAATGCAATGAGTTCAGTTTTTTCTAAATCCATTTTTCATATAAACAAAGCTACTGTCGTATTGGAGTCAACAAGATTGTGAAATAAAATGAAATTGGGATATATTATTAATAATTTTTGTATCAACTAGCTACATAAAAGTATCTACATACTTATAGAAACATCTTATTGTGGATACCTTTTGGTTTCTGTCTTGGAACCCGTGCTATCTTAAAGAGTATCATAAGAAAAATCATGTGAAAATATTCACATTCTAACGTCAGCCATGTTCATTGTACTAAAAATAGAACGAGGACGCATTTCAAAAGTACCGAGGTGTGATCAAGGTTTCAACATGTCCAATAACCACAGTATTAATCCTGTCCATGACGATAACCTGCCCACAAGTACCTGCAATATTACAGCCGGTTCCGCACTGTTTTTACCTTTTTTTCTTTATATTTGAACACACTTCATGTTGCCACAGCATCGAATTATGCCATTAATTCAATAAGAGAACATATGGGGAAATAAATGTTCAGTTATTTAATGGTTAAAGCCTTTCATAACGTGAAACGAAAACCCACCGATGAATGAAAAAACAGTTGTGAATGCTCGACGGACGGTGATGAACTGGAGCGGATAAGAGAGGAGACGGACAGGCACCGACTCGGGCTGACTACCGAGTGACGGAGTCTGACTCGTCCCGGCGGATGGACGGATGTAGATTCCCAGGTCCAACCGAGGGCGACAGAAGTACAGGACGGACAGCGTGCGGGCTACTGGTCCACCCCGCGCAGCGGAACCAACGCTCCTTGCCTTCGCATTCGCTTCCCGTCCAGAAGAACCTGAGGCGCCCCTGGGGCTCGTCCTCCTCGGCCAGGTCCTCGTCCTCGTCCTCCTCGGACTAGCTCCTTCTTTCCACTCAGACAGGAGGAAGGAGCTCTTGTGTGTTTGTCGTTGTTGTTTTCAGGATCGATGTTTGTTGTGTGCTGATCTTGGGCGGGTTTTGGATTATCGTTCGTTTTTTGTTGCTGTCCGTCTGGTGTCCGATCGTCTCTCGAATGCCTCTTTAACGCGGAAATGTGCTGTGAGGTTCGATCGAGCAGCGTGATTGTGGAGTGGTTTTCGTGCTTTTGAAAAAGTAGATAAAGATAGAGGATCACGGCGTTTGTGCTCGGACGAGCGGACAGCCCGAGGTCTCGTTCGAGGCGTCGAGGTGGAGCATCCCGAGGGCGACGAGGAAGAGGCAGCAGAGGTCCGGAGTAAGCTTTGAGATGTGTAGTGAGTTGTCAGCTGTCGTCCGTTCGGCGTTCTAGCATTGTTGGAATTAGCAATTGGCAGAGTTTTTTTGTATATTCAATTGTTCTTTTTTGTAAAGTGATTGCTCACAGCTTTTATCGAGTGCCATTTCCTCACCTTTCGAGTTTGAAAAAGTCAACATAATAAATTTATCGACAGTTCAGCTGCTTCTGCGTTACTCAGCTACATTTGCAGCTGGCGGATGATAGGAATTTATAATATTATCCGTCTCTTGTTCCTTCCCTCCTGCTGGACGAGCAGACCTGCACACACATGCGTTATCCAGTGGTATTGGAAAATTCAGCACTAATTGAGGCTTATTACTTCCTCTAGAGCAATCGCCCTATCTTCCTCGTAGTGCCGACGTCCTGCACCTAACTCCTGCATCTGCCTCACTACGATACAGCATACTGTTTCTACTTAAAAGAGATTGACGCGGGCATACCGTAGGAGTGAGGATTTGTACCGAGCGTGGAATTTGTCGTAAATGTACCATAGACAAATATTCGCACCGCCTTCTCGTTCGCTGTTTATATGCGCTCGACTGAGAACTTACATTTGCTTCAGGTTTCTTTTGTATTGAACCGTGTATGCATCGGAGCCGAAGCTGGTTAAGAATACGTAGGGCAGTGCTGGTCGTGATCGGCCCTAGAAGTTGTCTTCAGAAATGAAAAGCGCGTCGTCCACAATACATCTGAGAATCGTTCTAAACGACACTATGTTCCGTTGAATCCTTCATGAGTTCCGTGCATAGAGCTGGTTTCCTACCTTCTGTTCTCGTTGGCCAGTAAATTTTCACACCTTATTAGAGCTGTAAAGTGCTTCCACTTCAATGCAGAAGTTGAAAACTGTGAAATACCATATATAACCCCACGATCAGAATCTCGCTAATGATTCTCGTGTGTTTTAATTTCAGGGTTGAGCTTAGATTTTACTTCGAAGGACGCTAGGTGTGGATGAGAATGAGTTTTGTGTTTCGAGGATCCAGGGGTGACCTGGAGAATGGCTTCCATAATTTCACACCAGAGCGCAGGGCAGTGGTATGTACACGTTTGTAATCTAGTCTTCGGGCTTTCTTGTAGTCTTTTATTCCGAGGGCAGCTGTGTGCATTCACACCACGCTTCAGTTAAAATGTGATTCCTTTCAAGCTTCAAACGGGGTCAGCAACATCTAGTCAACCTCTCACTGCAGCATTGTTTGTTAGCATGAAAAGTTGATATTGATTAGGCGCACCGTTCTCGAGTGTTCTTCCTTCCTGTCTGGTTACTTTTAACGAGGAATTTAATTTTTTTGAGCTCATAGCACCTTCGATTTCCCTGTCCCGTGAATAATCAGTACTCTGGTGTAGAAAATTAGCTGCTTGTTGTTTAACCAGCGGGTTGGATTTCTTTCTGAATTTCGCTTATGTTCATAGCAGGAACCTTTCTGGTGTTTATTGATGATTTGCGCTTGACCTCTTTCCAGCTATTGCTGAGTACTGACAAGTTGAGAATCCTTGACTACGGACTTGTTTTCAGGTCCAAAGATTTCACGGGAATGCACGTTCGAATGCCAATCCCTTGACTTTTTTGTTCACAGGTATTGTTGTTCATATTGGCCCACATTGAAGTCCTCGGGAGTGTTTGGAACAACGGAAACGGGGTCGATCAAGTGAAGTCCATGAAGTTTAATGCATGTGAACAGTTTTATCTCTTTTTGTGATAATTGAGAGTTAAAAGTTAGAAGCGACAGAGCTGGATCTAGAACGAATACACGCGGTTCCGTGTTTTTGGCTGCACAGTTATGACGAGAGATGTACTAGTATATCCTTTTTAAATGTAATGTGAGGCAATTTTTTACTGTCATTAGCCTGACATTGGGCTAGAGATTTAACTGAAACTTGGGTAATTAGGTTGGACTAGAAGAAAAATAGAAGACTACAGCGTATACACCCTTATCCTCAATTAGCCACAGCCAAATTTTAACACAGCCTTTCTGCCGAAGTCAGATATGATATCTGGTAGAGAAGAAGTACTTATGGTTGCTCGGAATGTCTGTTGATGATATTTGTTTCCTGCTTACATGACGTATTTTTGTATTGCAGTTCTCCTTCTTTTCGTGTTTATAAACTCCCATCAAATGTCGCCGAACTTCCTAGTAAGTCTTTCTTTTGGGGACTGCAACTGGTACCGTGAAGTATGTGTGATTGGTGCAAAATAGAGGAAGAAAGTGTGGATATGTAATTAACCGGTTTGAATTGTCTTTAGCTTCAATTTGAATGTAGCCAATGGGGTAAAGCTGCGCTCACATTTGTTCTCATTTCATCTCGTCAACAGCTATGGCTTGGAATGGGAGTATTCTTGATGGCAACAGGGCTGCGCATGTACGCTATGTGTCAGCAGCTCCAAGCACAAGCTCAGGCTGTGGGTGCGTTGGTTGGTCACACAGAGTTACACTTGCGCATGCCACCTTCGCTAACCATCGCCACAAGAGGTCGTCTACAAGGTCTACGCCTTCAGCTTGCCCTACTTGATCGTGACTTCGATGACCTCGGTAAGTTCCAGTTAACTCTCTTATATCATCACCTTGATCCAGAGCCCAATGCAGCCGCTCTGTTAAAGTCGTAGCCACTTGGGCTTTCGTAACCTTCAGATGGATGACTTAGTGAAGGGGTTCTTGGTTAATACTTGAGAACTCTGAATTGAGCTCAGCTGTGGGGACATATTCCTTTACAAGTGAGACTTTCTTCGTTCTCAAGCAGAAATCTCGTTTCCCTTGTGTTTGTATTTCTATTTTCCACGTACTGAATCTCTTCACTTCGACGCTGCTCAGCCAGGGCATCGGTCTTCAGGCTCTGCTAGGCAGACAACAGTAAGTAGGTCTTTCTTTACCCCTTTGAGATAGATGAAGACTCCAAATTGATTTTGATCTACAGTCTCCCACTAATTTCGGATAGAATTCGCTGCTTTCAGACTATGAGGCTTTGAGAGCGTTGGATGGTGACAATCCCCCTGGAGTGGCTTCCTTGAGTGAAGCAGAGATTGGTCGCTTACCGGTTCATAAATACAAAGGCCAACCTCATCAAATCAGGCATGTTATTCAATCTGCTTCTAGTGCCATGAAAGTGCACGTTTTAAAATTGGTAGAAAGCACGAAAGCATGAGAGGACCAAAAATACGTTCTTTCCAAGTAGTCGCTTATAGTCCATATGTACTTGTTCTGAGGTCGACATAGTGCTCATTCCTTGTTGTAATAGTAATTCCTTTTTTCTCCTTAAGTGGTGAGGAACACCTTCTTACACCATCCGTAAATGAGCAGCTTGATTTTGATAATTCCTCCAATTGATATCGATCTTAAATTAAGATAGCAATCAAAAGATGATGCCAACGAGCTTATTTTTGGTATGTTGACCATGTTGCTAGATCATATGTGGATTGAAGCGAGATCCAAAACCTTCCATGTTGAGAAACTTACAGCGTCTGTGTGTGCAGTGAAGGGGCGCCATCACCATCGCAAGCATCTAGTGCGATTGCTGCGGAAACTGGGACGGTGTGTCACCTAATACTCACGCTCGATGCCTTAGCGAATAGAATTATGCATTCTTTGTCGTAGGCTTATCTCCCCTTAAATTCAGTCTCTTTCACCTCTATCCGTGAACATCCACAGAGGGTAATTAGTAGTAATATGTTAGGGAACTGTTGATTTTCTGTCTCTGTTATTTCCGCCGTAAGCAATGAGACTGCAAATTACATTGAGGTCACTGACGAAGTCTTCGTCCCGAGAGAAATTTTACCACAAGACGGCAGATTCTAGTAGCAAATAGTGACAGATTCTGCCAGCGTGTAGTAAAGGGAGAAGGATCTTCCATTTCGGTAAACCAACTTTGGTATGCATTTACAATCGGAACCCACTCAGTAGTCCTTAGACACCCGACAGAATCCCCCTACAGTGTTCTCAGCACTCATTAATCTAAGTACTTTGTGATGCTCGTCTGACATGCCAGTAGTGGTAAAACAAATGCAGCAGATCTGTCATATGTCATCTTCATCATGGTGGTTTTACGGCGTGTTATGTGTTCTCACACTATCCACGGTGCTTCTTGTTTGCAGAAAAAAAGTGAAAGTGGAGCGTTGGAGGCGACGAAGCAGAAGTACGATGAAGAGTTGACCTGTACAGTTTGCCTAGAACAAGTGGTCGATGGGGAATTGGTCCGCAGCCTTCCTTGCCTTCACCAGGTAATGTTTCTGCCATCGAAATGTGAAATCTTGAAATTGCCTCCTTATTGGGCACGAGGCTTAGTATGATTTTGAGTATAACTACTTAATGCTCAACATCAGACGGTTACTCGAATGTATGGAGAACGTCACAATGCTCTTTCATACTCATATTCCCGAGATATAAATTCAGGTCCATACATCGTACACGATGCGAATCTGTTCGAGTTCCACCATTAGCTAACAGTACTAACTCGTATCTCTCGAGCAGTTCCATGCAGGTTGCATCGATCAGTGGCTACGGCAACAAGCGACGTGCCCTGTTTGCAAGTTTAGACTTACGAGTAGCTGGCCGGATGGCTCAAGTGCGAACGATGGAACTTTTATGGTGTAGTCCAGAAAGTTGTATTTTGAGCTCCCTGTATTCTAAGAACTGCAAGTAGGTCGATTGATCGAATCTCAAAAGTGATTCTTTCAAGGTTCTATCTTTTGTAAATGGTCGGGTGGTTCACTTTTGAGCACGGTCAAGGAAATTTGGGCTGCTCTTGTATTTTAATAGCTAAGCAAACAAAACAAGGTCCGGAAGTAAATGAAAGATGAGAATAGAAGCGGAGTATGATGTACATGTGACTTGTATTGAAGCTTTTAGGTGGCTTTTCCAGGAGGAATCTAAACTTGTAAACTATAGTTGGTTGTGAGGCATGGGTTAGATTCTCAGGCTCTTAGCACTGGGTGCTACTATTTTAATGTCGCGGAAAGCTTCAGTAGATGAGGCTTCGGTGGGCAGTTCAAGAACGCTATTTTGTTGTCATCGAAGATCATTCATGTTATAGAAAGTTTACAAGCTCCACGTCTCCTCTTGCAAGCAGGATTCTTTCAAGTATTACTTCGTAATGCAGTTGTCATCATTCAATCACGTATGTCGCAACTCATTTGGCCGCGGGCCGTAACTGGATGGATTGAAAAGAGTTATACCGCCTGGTCTATGCTCGCGTTACCTGCGAATCCCTTCCTCGAGGGCCCCAAACTCGACTATTGGGCTCTTAAAGGATCGGTTTGATCACTAATCAAGTCACAGAAGATTGGAACCTCGGGAAAGGTAGGTACCAAAAGGAAGCTAAGGATGCCAAGGATCCTTGGATAGGGAGGTAATCATTCACTTTAGATTAGGGGCTTCGCGCCGAAGCAAACCTTTTAAATCCGCTCGTTGTTATAAATGCCAGCTCGGGTGCCAGACGGTAAGCTAGTAAGCTGGACGAGTGAACTTCGAGGGTTAAACCCGTCAGTTGTTTCCTGAAATTTGGTAGAAGGCAGTAATAAAATCCAAAAGAGCTTAAGCTATTGTTATACTTGCATTGGTGCTCCACACTTGACATTTTTCACTAAGTACAAAATATCGCTTACTGAATCTTTCTGCTATTAGTACTTAGTCTGCACCAGGTTACTGCATATGTACCGCATGTGTAGCAGCTAAGAGGCTTTGGGATACTGCCGCCCTGTTAGAAACTGGCATTACAGCCTATCCCTTCTTTCCAGTCATGTTGAGAGCAAACCTTCCTCCTCTTGCATGCTTCATGCCTAACCTGGAGCTTTTTGCGAATGCAAATCCAGATTGAATAAAATAGCATACCACAAATTATATGAGGTAAAGGGCCACATGGATAGAAAAAAGGACAATGAATAAATTTTAACGGGCGACCATAGTCTAGGCCTAAATAGTATCTACAAACAACAGAACATATGACGCAATAAAATTTCACGTGATTTGACTATCAATTATAGCATTAGACAATGCTCTTCGTAAAAAATGGAAATCTAGGCTATTGTGTAAAAGAACTACACAAAACTATAGACATAATGATAAACCCTGTCACTTACTCCACTCTCTCTCTTTCTCCACAGTGCCATTAGGGTAAAAAGATGGGAAACATATTAGGCATATGAACATCTATATGGCACGCGATAAAAACGGCTACACGTCTGAATTTGAGGTAGCCTTATCTACCAGAGCTTAGATTCTCAAGATCTTTTAGCCACCTCCCCGAAGAGACATGTGACTGTGTACATGAGTCACATTTGTGGGGGACACGAGTCTCATGGCTGTTGCCTCAGTCAGTTTTTCAGTCGTAGCTAGACAAGGAGAAATTAGTAATTAGGATTGCAATCTATTTTTCAACGCTTTGGTTGCCCTCCTTCAACGACTATCTCTTCAGAGTCTCTTACAATCCCTCCCACTTTAGAGTTAGGAAGACTACATCCTCATACCACATAATCTCTTTGAAGATTTTGGCGCTCAGCTCATGCGACACGTACTCTTGATCTCGACTGAGAGACCCGTTTGTGGCCCCATCGGCCCCTGACTGTCTTTTTCTTGGTAGAGAATGAGATGCATTACTTTCATGATTCAACAAACTTGCATCCAGATTGGATTGTGCTACAAGTGGACATAACAAATGACTTGACCAACATATAAAGAAGAATTATCTCCTTTGAATTGTTGGCTTCAAATCCTTCCAAAACACAAATTAATTACTTTCCAAATGCTTCCATGATCCCCGCTATTTTATCAGCATTGTGTATCTACATCACGACAATGTAGATTTTTTTTTCTCACATGTAATATATTTAAATGTGGAGCTTTTGTTCCTCACTTTCATAATTGGGTTTTTTTCTTCGCTTTAGAGGACATCAAAGTTGAAAAGCATTATTTTAAAAAAAATTTGTTCAAAAAATGATTTTTTGGGCTACAAAATTCTAATGAAGTACAAAATTTATTTTGTTTAATTATAAAAAAACGAAAAAAGTGTGAATGATAATTAAGCATTTTTACAAGAATAGAAATATTTTTATTAAAATTATGTAATTAAAACATAGCAATCCAACTTATTTGAAAAAAATAATATTCGTGTAAATAAAATTATTATTTTTAATATTGTATGTGAATATGATTATCTAATTTGGAAACAATAATATTCATCCATGTTTATTATACTTTTCTTGTTCACAATCATTTTACACAAATTCATGAGTTCTCTATGTTGCAAGCATAGATTATATCTCACATGTTTTGATCTTGATATTCTGTTTTGACCAGTATATGTGTTGCTTCTCCAAACTACATACATGAATTTGCTTTTTTTAGTTGGTTAAAAATTAATTTTATTTTTCAACATCTTCATTTACGTTACTATTGATGTGATTTAAAATTTTATTTCATCAAATTTATGTTATTTTTTCCAAAATAATTTTCATAGAATGCGTACAAGATTGAAACAACGATAAATGCATATCTTTCAACATTTCTAATTTTTTTAATTTTTTTGATTTATGACCAATTTCTTTGAACATAAGTCAATTTAATTTTTAATTTTCTCAAATTCATCAGATAAATATTTCATTTCTTAAAAAAATTAAAATCCAAAATCTTCAAATACTTTTACAAGTCAACAACACTTCTAAAATTGCAAAAATTCCTTTAAAAAAAATGTGAATGATAATTAAGCATGTTTACAAGAAATCTTTGAAAAATATTTTTTGGAAATTGAACTTTCGTGCACTTCCTGAAGAAGAAAAAAGAGTCCTCAGTATTAGTACTGTCAAAATATTTTTCAAAAAACAGTCAAATAATTTTTTCTAACAATAAATTTCCAATTTAACATATAAGTAGTATCATATTGCTCCACTTGTTGGAAATACCAGTATCAACTTCGCTTAATTTTTTAGTCATTCTGTGCACAAAGTAGGCAGTTCAGTGTAGACAACTGTGTTACTAAATTTAGACAGTGCATGCACTGTCTAAATCTTGGTTCGAAGTGCGTGAAACTTGACTCGTCCAAGGGCCTTCGTCAAAATGTCCGCAAGCTGGCCGTTTGTGCTGATGAACTCTACCTCAATCTGCCCGTATTCAACACATTTTTTAATTTTTTTAATAAAAGATTTAAATATTTTTCCTAATGACAAATTTCCAATTATATAATATATACATTATGATTTTCATCAAGCTGCATGTTATGTGATGCAGAAAAAAATTATTTTTTATTTCTGAAATAATATTTTAAATTATTTAGGAACTCAATATTTTTTATTTGATTATAAATATGTTGTGTTAATTTTTTTTAAAATTTTAAAATAAATTAAAAAAATTGAAATTGAAATTGAAATAAAAACTTGTATAGACTTATATTGTGCAATGAGTTTGTTTGAAAGAATCCAGATTATGAAAATAATCTTTGACTGAAATCTGCATTAGAATCAAATATTTATCAATACAATATTTTTTATCAGAAGATGACATTAAAATTTTACGTATTTTATGAATTTGTTGCCAAATTGAAGTTGCCAAATTGCCTAGATTTTTGAAATTTAATTTAAAATTTATGCTAGTTTTGAATTGTTTCAAGAGAAATCATACAAAAAATTAAGATAACTGGTATTCATATGAAGTTGATTTAGTTTAGATTATAATATTTTAATTTAAAATCTGTAGATTTTGAGTTTTCAAAAAAGATGAAGGTTTTTTAAGAAAAGAAACTTTGAATATTGTATAAATAAGAAATGTATCGAAATTTATTTTTTTAAAACTAAATATATTTAGAAAATTATTTTTGCGAACAGTGCAATGTACTGTAATGTAATTAGTTGAAAAAAATTGGTAGAAAAAATATATCTATTTATTGTATCTAGATGTTAAAAAAATCAGTTTCATAATACCATGTGAAAAACATTTCAGATGCCTTGTATCATTGTGAGGTTTGTGTTTGTTTGTAGAAACTTTTAAATAAAATATGAACATAAACGAGGATGAACCGTTTTTTCTTTAATTCTATGGAAGTCATTATCATGAATTGAATATTTATGAAAATGACTTCCATAGAATTTATATTTAGATAATATATAAAGAAATGATAATTAAGATTGAATGATATTCAATCCATTCAATCTTACCAGACAAATCATTATGAGTAACTCAAGAAAGAAAGAGTGAAATAAATAGAAATATATATTTTTCACATTATTTTCACTTGAAAAATTGGATTATATATATATATATATAAATATATAAATATAAATATATAAAATTAAGATTTGGTAATTTCGTTATCAAAGTGAAATAATTAGATCTCAAAATATGATAAGTTGAAACATCTCTCATTTTTTTGACAAGTTTCAACATAAATAAATAAATAAACGTGAATATGATTTATATAAGAAAACATAGATTGAAGTAAGATCCAATCGTCAGATTTGAACAATATTACTTCAAGCCGAAACTTATTTCACTCATATCGTTTGCAAAATATTTAAATCTTTAATCGAAAACCAATATAATCAATAATTCAAACGAGATGTACTTCTCTTTCAGCTTTACTCCCTCAGATCCATCCTCATCAATTGTGAACTAGCAAAATTTACATTGATTTTCCAAGTTAAAAAAACCTTTGCGATTCTTATAGGTTCAATTGTGGAGGCTGCAGCCAGCACAACGACGAATGCACATTGGGGTGGATCTTTCTAGACAGGACCTTCTCACCTACCCTGAAGTAATGCTAGGTGCTAGGTCACACCAACCCGCGAAATCTAGAAGAAAAGGAACGAAAGAGGGTTCAGAGGGGAATGTTTTTTTACTTAGCATAACGTATATAACGGACCTGGCTTTTGTCAAGAATTGATAAATATGGTTAACAACTACTACAAGAGTGGGGGATTAATTTTGGCTTCATGCACATACAATCAATCTCTTACAACTGTAAGCTTAGCATGCTCAATGCTCATCAAGAGTCTAAACACAGCTACGATAATCCGGTGAACGAACTACGAAAACAGTCATTAGCATGGTTTGAATGTCCTAATGCTCTTGCATGCATGCATAAACTCCAACGAGTAAATTTAGCTCGTTCACCGATCCCTTGAAGTCTGAAAGTACGGGTAGTACTATATTAGGAGTTGTAGCAACTGACTCTATTGGGGGCATCCACTCGCAGAGAACGCAAAGGAAAAGCAAATGACGGAGATTTATTCACTCGTCTAGTAGGGCGAGTATTGACATCAATAGGACTACAATACTTCCGCCGGAGTAAACAATTTACAACTTCTTTCTGGCATGTCTGAAGTGCTGACTGTCGGTCGCAGCGCCAGCCGTACCAAAAGGAAGAGCAAACGCAAAAAAGGACGATCGATTTGCGGTGCATCCATCCGGACATGTATCTAGTGTCGACGTGCATTCTCAATCTAGGGATGGCCGCTAACACGGTATGAAAACCTCGCAATGTGAGACTATATACAGAAAGCTTCCGGAACGAGGGGTCATACCGTTCATGATCAAGCGTCCTCCCACGAAATCTGCATGACCAGGAACTTTGAAACTTTAAATAACTATAAAAGCGAGATCTGTTGGTTTGAGTGCCAAGCCTTCTTCTAAACATTCATGAACGTCGAGGGAATACTTTCCAACAGAAAATATGCTGCTCGTGTAAGAAGAAAACAGGAGACGTCAAAGACCAAGAGTATCGGAGAGACTCCGTGTGAGCAGTAAGGGATACTAATGTAAACAATAATCAATCCATCCATCCAATTGTGGAAAAGATGCCAACAGGAGAGGGTTTCGCTGCTTCAAATGAGGCGATTGTGCTGGTTCTCAGTCTGTATCTTGGCTTCGTTGTTGGGGCTGCTCTGCAAACGAGACACATCGATCAGCAACAATGACTTGCTGTCATGATGTGAAGCACTAGCACCGTCATTGCTCATGGCCCTCTGACCGCTGTATCATCTTACATCAAATGCTGCAGATACTGTAATCACAAGGTTCTAGGTTAGCCTGAGCTAGAAACTGCAGTTAATGTTGGCTTGCTTCAAAGAGAAATGAGTAGGAGGATGGAAGGTCTCATACGCGCTATTTTATTTCCAACTTGCGTCGTCTGCCACAATGATATACGGAACTCCCTTCGATTATTCCGAGGTCTTGATCTGTCTGACCGCCTTCCACATCGCACCACGTAGAAGCTCCCTAAACCAACGATCGCACTGCCATTTCACGTGGCTCTTTCTTCCTTGCCTTAAGTCCCAGCCGTCTTTTTGGGTAGTGGCCACCCTTCGAGCTTGCTTTAAACCGTTCTTTGGGTCGGGCAGAGTATCTTCTCCCTCCAAAAAGAGTACAATTGTCTTGCAGCATTGAACCAAAATAATGAAAACCTAGAGAATGGACCGAAAAAAGCTTTTGGGAAAATTAAATGCATCACACAAGGAAGAAAAGTCTACGCACGAAGTAATCACAAATGCAAGCTCATAGAACTTTTTCTTCGACATAGTGATCGCTTGTCCACCTCGATGATCATGTTGGGACGCAATTTTCAGAAGTAAATCAGAGCAATGTCTTTTAGGATAGAGCCAAGAGAAACACAAGATGGGGTGAAGCACCATAAGCTGTGGTGATTCTGGACACCTCCATGGTTACTCTTGCTTGCCTTGTAGAAAGGTCGTCTCTACCATTAAATTAGGAGAAGATGGTCACGACATACTCGTGAGCAGTATAATCGAACCAAGGAGACAACATCCGCCAAAACACAAGAAGCGCCTTCCAAAAAAAACCTCCTCCAATCGCGGCATTACCCGCAATTGTCAGATATTAACCTTTTTTTGACATGCCTTTGAGCGTGAAAGACTGATACTCTATTTTCTCTGAAAGGATGTCGGTCTTGTCTACCATTTCTTCCTTTCTCGACTGGATATAGGTCTCGCTGGTGGATGATCCAAAAGGCGGCTCGTGCAAACCTCTTTGTGAAGACTCTTCGAGTTCAACCACTCGGTCTCTTACAACACACGAGTCACCAAATTCCGAAGTAGATTAATAAAGCTCTATGGCAAAACACAATGTGGTAAGTTGAAGGCCTTTCATGGAGAGGAAACGAACCCACCCATCACTTACCAGTTGCAGCTTGAACTCATCATGTGTTTTGAGGCCGTCTGGTCAAGGCAATCGGTCCACTTGATTGAACAATAGCAGCCTAATTAAGAGTTTCAAACCTTATAACACAATCTGTGATTAGATATCCTACAGAACATGTCGAGAATTATTACAGTCTAACATGATAGGTGATGAAAGATGTTCCATAGTTTGTGCTGAAAATGGATCGACGGAGGTCATTCGCATGATGTGGTCCGTTCAAGCTCAATCGAAGCCCAGACAACGTCGTTCAAAAGGGAAAACACCAACTTCCCTCTGTCATCCCTTTCATCATCAGAGTTGACCTCAGGCAGGCATGGTAGTTTCAGGTAAGACAAATTGCGGTCACGACTGACGGACATGTTTTGTCTCAAAGCTACGGTATCTGGGTGATGATTACCGATGCTTCAGAGTGATGATTATAAAATTCACAACATTGACCGAATTGAGCTTGCAAGTCAGCAGACTTTGACCTCCTTTGTGAAGCAGATGTTAGAAAATGCTCCAAAACATCCAGTTTTGACCAGAAGGTTGATGATTCTTTTGCCCGATTTGTTCATGTACATCATCCTTTCTGTTTCAGAAGGGTGAGGAAACCGAAAGTTTGGCCCCGTGCTTTCATCTGCAGGTACAGGCACATGTTAGAGAGAAAGAACCCCACAACATGATGATGACTATGTCTTTCGAGTAAGATTCAATGGAACCGGTTGTAGGGTGTGTCGTCCAGTGCCACGAGAAGTCTCTTCCGGTCAAGAAAGGAACTGAAGGAGTGGATTTGTGAACAGCATGCGCTGAAAGAATCTACCGTACTGGTTCCGGTGACCGATCACAGTTCGTAAGGGAAATTGGGCCAATGGTTACTGACGTAGAATATCAAGAAATAATATATGAGTCAGACGAATGCTCTCCCCCCGTGCGTGATGACTGTAAAACGGACGAATGACGTGAGGACCTCTTGTACAAGGATCTAAAGACCGAACCGAATGCAATGTGCTGGCTGTGAACGGAATATATTGGCAACAATCAACTTGAAGTGCTCATTAGAGAGAAGAATATGACTACAATCTGCTGATTAATTATAGCGTGCAAGAAGTGCAAAGCTGCTGAGGAAAGAAGATCTGCACGTTATAATTTGGGCATATTCAGTTCACCAGGTTTTGGAAGCCCCAGGACAAGTCTCCGGTCCTGACCTCTCCGAGCAATCACTGTACATTTATTGCAAATGGTGCATTTGCAATCTAGCACACAATGGTCGTCGATAGCTCGTTATATTTCTAGCCCTCGTATAAGAACACCGTTCTATCGACGTGTCTTAATTGGGGAGACGTCCAACAAATGAATGCCTTAAAAAGGTTACGGCTGGGCTCCACAACACTAGTGAGTTTCTGTAAGCTTATGAAACATGAAAAAGAAAATACATTACAAAGATAAGAGGCAAGTGATGTTGGGATCAGAACATGAAGAAAAAAATCCTGATCTGTTTCCTGTATCAGTGGGAGTGGCTGAAGGAGCAAAGGCTTAAGTAGTCAGCCTTTTGCTACTTCAGCTGCAACCCTTTACAGCTGAAGTAGAGAATGAGACGTCTTGCATTCTACATCATCGTATGTTGTAGACCGACGTCGCATTATCGTTTCGAGTATGGCCATTTCAATGGATACGATGAGCCTTTTGTAGACCACAGCATCACAGCTTTGGCATTACCTTGGGCATAAGACTTCTGACTTAAGAGTGCAAGACCTCTCATAAAGAAGATTCTTTTCGTTTATTGTAAAAGACAGTGACTTGTATTCAGGTATGTTTGGGTGCACCTGTTAGAATTTCAAGCACTGTTCTTGACTCCGTAGGAAGGTTTAGAAAACCGGATCTGCGTGACTTTATGTGGCGTACTCGGGAGATCTTAATGGTGATGGTCTCGTGTACCTAACCATGTCACATTACTCAGAGCGTATCTTATCTCTGCACTGTAGGTGACAGAAACGATGGGAACTCACAAGAAGCTTACTGAAAAAACGGACGTTCTTGGAATGATCGGCATGGTCTTGCACGGGATTTAAATCAGATCCGAAGAGAGAAGACACACTCAGAGGATTGCTATGCGGTCGAACGGGGATTTCGGTCGAGGAAGTACCAGCGAAAGTATCCACATCTGGGAATAATAGTCAACCCCATCACGTGAGAAAGGTTATAATAAAACCTCGCGTCTTCCAGCGCTGAAGTTATGCCAACATGTGCAGACATCTTCCGAGACACCACCGAGTGGCTAGAAACTGAGAAGCATGGATTGTGCCGAAGATATTTCGTGCAGGAATGAAGTGTTCAGGACATTCCATGGCTCCAAATCTGCAGTTCAATCCCGGACGTCGCTCTCATTTCGAGCCATTAACCTCGTTTGGACGTTGGCTTGCGAACAAAGAGGACCTCGAAAAGTACTTGCGTGATCCAGTTGTATCTATTATGCTGCGCAGTAGAGTACCTCGTGCTTCTGCATCGCTGCGAGCATATCAGCTGGAACGATCAACCTTTTTCATGCTGATGAGCTTGTGAGACCGAAGCTTCGAGACCCAGCTCAAACACAGACGTATCGAGACAGGGAATGAATATCATACGGTAGGATGTCACCGACGTCTCCTTTTGGCACTTTGACTTCTTACTGTCAATAAATTCTCCAGAACCATTCTCCTGAGGACTCTTCAGTTTCATCAATAAAAGTAGTACAAAAATAGAAGGACTTTTGCATCGGGCACCCGAGGAGTGATGAGCAAATTTAGGGTACGGTACTGTACTTACAATTTTGTTTTCCCCATCTTATGTCGATGAAGACAAAGTACCGTAGGAGGGTGAGGCCAGGTAGCACCAAGACCTTCGAGCTCCCATACATTCCGCGTATACATCCCGTGTCATGCTCACAGTAGAAGAAGCTGTGTGGACGTTAGACATTCGTCGGCGAAGAGAGGCACGAAAGCTAGGGGAGAACAAGAAGCAACGGCGGACAAACAAAGGTCGGCGATGGAGACGTCTGATGGCAGAATTGAATGATGGGGAGAGGCGACTCCGAGTGAGAGCAGATGAAGAGACGACGGAGGAGGGGCTGGAGAACGATCCAAACTGGAGCTGACGATTCAATTGAATCGAATTGAAGAGGCTGGCAATGCGTCGGGGGCAGTGCCCCACATCTTGCGCTCTCGTTCTGCTGTGCTGCCTGCCCAGCTTCTGTACGTCCGTCGTCCTGTGCTCACTCGTCAAAGGATCGATTTTAAATCCAGGGGGCGCGGGTCGTGGTGCATTTCGGCTGTCCTATGAAAGGCGCTTCTGGCCCTTCTCTTCCGCCTCGGGGCTCGCGTTCCCTCCTTCATTGCTCCGCCGCCGTTTGCTTAGTGCGCAATTCCTCCATCTGCCTCCACCAACTTTAACCGGACACTCGGCCGCTGCGTCCAGCGAGCTGTCACCATCCGCCCTCTACGCGGTTCCCAGTCCTACGCAGTCCGTCCATCACCTCCATTACCACGAAATCCGATCGTCGGGCCTGACGGTACTCCGTGTAATCTTGGCCGTTCGATAGGCATCGCGAGTGAACATTGCGCGGGCCCGATCTGGCGACTGGGAGCGTTCCGAATAAAATACGAGTTCGCTATTTGGCTCCTCGGCCACCCCGTTTCATTGCTCGGGTGTGGGGGCGGGGTTCGCCCTTGCCATTGGACGGCCGGTCCGCACGGGCGGGATCTGAAGCATCCGTGCAGGCGAGAACGAGATCTGGGCACTTCGCTTCTCTTTCTTTCAGTTGGGACTGTTGAGTTCGCTTCCCTTTACGTTAGTTGCGTTTTCTTCCTTCTGCCCGCCAGAATGTTTTTTGGTCGCACGAGTTGGATGGGGGGCCATGCCATATGATGTCCATGAGGTGTGGGTCCCCATTGGCTCATCGCCGTCCTGCATCCTGATGTCCCATGGATTCGATTTCTTTTTGTCCTCAGGTGTTCTCTACGAAGTCAATGTAGTATGTGATGGGAAGCTATGCTTCTGACGCGCGTGTCAGAATACATTCGTGCGCAGCATCGAGCAGGTTACACAGTGCAAGTACCGGCGACGTCGGTCGTCGTTTTCTGGAGTTGACGGAGGGCGCGACTCCATTGTGCGCTGGGAAGGACGGAAGTTTGGGGCATAAACGGGGCCCACGATTCGGTCGAGGGAGGTAGGGCTGGTCCGACAGGATGAAGTCAGATGTTCGCAGTCGTCTGAACGGAGAGAGGCGACGGGATATCGAGTAAGGCGTGGCGTACTAACTTACGGCCGTGTTTTCGAATCGTTGGATGGTGGAGATCGAAGAAGGGTAAATACCACGTGCATGGGGGGTTGATTGCTCCACTTCGCACAGAGCACCGAAATACGACAAAGTATGCAATCACGTATGATTAGTATATTCGACTGTAACAGCAAGGGTGAAGAACCGGATACCGCCAGTGCGTTTCTCAACGGAGTCGATTATGGCGTGCGCCGACATTCCTCTGTTGTCATGCTCTTTACAATGCAGCCATAGAGAAACCCAAATTCCCATAAAGGTTCAATCTCATGGGTATCTAGTCTTAAAAGGCTTTCTAACCCTTCCCTTCTCTTTCTCGGCCTTTTATCACTAGTCGGTCATGGAGCAGGTCACCAGTAACGAGGTTTAGGAGCCGCATTCAGTCCGTCCGCGCCACCGGGCCCAGCTCCTGAATTGTGTCAGACACGACCGTGCGGCAAGAAGTGATGGACCTTCATTAGTATTCGGAAAGCCACCTGTCGTAAGCAAAGGAAATTCAGGTTGACAATAATAGGGATGGCATTTACTACAATAACGGTTTCACCGTAAATTTAGCATCGAAATCACGACTCAAAATAGGATGGTAGCGCAGCGACGCGTAGGCGGTCGTAGTCACTCCTGGGAGGTAGAACTCGAGAAGGAGGTGACTCGCGGAGGAGGAGGAGAAGTCTTGATGTGGGGAATTTAGTAAGGCGAAGAAGTCCGACTACCAGTTTATATCTGGAGGCGTTCAGTGTCCTTGGCCCATTTGATCATGACTGAAATTAGTGGTGGTTATCATACACTAATTCCCACGGGGAGAGCTGTTATATCAACGTTGACTGGGATATCGCGCTACTATACTGACCTTAACTTCCGGTCTTCATTTAACGGCCGCACGCCGGCGGCGTGGCGGCGCGTGGGAGAGTTGTCCCTACGTGGTTTAGAAGAGGTCTCAATTGGACTCGACATCATTGGGTTTCGCAGTTCTTCGTTAGGTTACATGTCGCCTTTAGGTCGAGGACGACACATGGTCATGCTCTTTTCCTTTTGGGTTCTGCCCCATCCTGCACACAGCCTTGTAGATTCGTCGGCTGTGCTGGTGGCACTCTGGCGTCGATATATTCCAACAAAAAGTTTCGGTCCCTATTCGTATTACATCGAGAATGCTTTCTCTTCGACACTTCGACCCCCAAGCGTCTTCAGGTTGTGCAGTTAGCATCCGGATATACTACTTTTGTCAAAAGAATGAATTCCACGTAAGTTTCTTCCTAAGCATCTACATTCAGAATAGCATCTCTCGCCAGCAACATACCAAATATGATGGGATGGGTACAACGAAATTCCTTGTTACGGAAAAAAAACTTCAAATATATGAAACCGCGATAAATACCATGACCTGAATTTGCTTTGAAAAAATAATAATATTTGCAGTTGAAGTAAGCACGATGATGAGTCGGAAGAAAGGTCTTCATTGAACTGGAAGTGTGAAACTGGAGTTTCTTGTATGCAGCTAACTCTGATCGGAGGAATAAAGCAAATGGAAAAGCATCACGCACTAGAATCCTAGTAAAATCTTGGCCTTAAGGGCGGGTGGGATTCGATACTTACGGACCCGCTTTCCGCAAAAAAAGCTTCCAATGATTTCATTAAGTAAGGCCGTCGTTTCTCAATCCCCGCCCTCTCTTCGGACACGTAGCGACAGGGCAGGGCAGGGCAGGGCAGGAGGGGCCTGGCCAAGACTGGAGGCACAATGGCCGGTGGTCGGAAAGAGCTCGGGGCGTACGAACATCGAACAACTGGGCGATGACAAAACCGGGCAGCCCTGCACCGAATTCACTGTGAACCATGGGTTTAGCGGTAAGATGCAGAGCGGAAAGCGGAAAGATGTACGGTGCCTTGAAACCAGTGAGATGGCTACTGAACAATTAAAAAACTGAGCACTTACTGGTATTATTTCGGCCGTATTAGCTTTGATACCATGCGCCGCGCAGAGCAAAAGCCCGGTATCCTCCCCCCTCTCTTATACCCCGTCAAACCCCGACTCTTCAGCGTTAAGTGTGTAAGCCGCCCCAATCCTGTTCACTTTCCTCCGGCTAGCCAGCACCCGCTCTCATTGCAGTTTGAAAGTGAGCTATGTTATCTCGTTGAGTCCAATCCACTCCTGTCGTTGTCTCAGGCTGCGACTTCATGCTCAACATCAATCGGTGGAGCTCTTTGACGTTCACCGCCAGTTCGAAATTTGAGTGGGTGAATCGCTCACATTCGTGAACGGACTTCTGTTGAGTGACAGTGAGGAGGTTGAGGAGGTGGGCTTGTCGTGGTGTTGACAGTGATTGTTAAAGAGCTTCCATTGAATCTGTAAAGCGCACGAAGGAATTTGGCTCGAGATATTCTTCAATTCTTCTCACCTTCCAGGTCGTTCTCCGCTGACTAGCGGTCGCCATTGCGTGAATTCGGAAGACGTGAGTGAAGGAGTCGTTTCTGGTTCTTATATCGGCGACTGGAAACAGCGGCCTTCTGTGCATGCGGGACCGAAAGGCGACAGGGCTCTGTGTGTGACGACCTGCGCAAAGCGTAAAGCCTCTGTTGAGTTTGAGTTACAGTCGAGAAGGATTTGAGTAGTTTAGTACCAGACGGGCTCAGGTTGTGCAGACTCGAAATCCGGCCAATGTGCTTGGGTGACGACTGTACGCTGGACGACCTGTACATCGAGAACGTTTTGGTGACATGTCCACCGACGTATCACGTTATCCAATCTAAGGTGAAATCAGATTTTCATCCTGACAGACGGTTCAGGAAGATTGAACGTCAACGTAAGGGGGTGATCATCAAACAGGCGTGGTGAGGGGCACGGGAGGTGCCAGATTGTATTCCTGGTTGGGCTGTAATTGGATCGTGGTGTTGTAGCTGCGCAGTTGTTGCTGCCTCAAAGAGCCCAACCGTTGTCCTTCACACTCGACTCACACTTAGAACGCTGAGACTTCAAAATAAGTTGACAGTGAATCGTCTCTACGCTGCCGCGGTTTCACCATGGGTGCATTAATATGTGGAAAAGTATCCGCGAAGAAGCTTTCCTTCACCGTCGTGGTTACGGCTTTGGTCTTCATCTACACCTTCGTCTACTCAGGTTCGTCACTCCCGAGATGCTTATTGGTTTGCTCTCACGTTAGCTTAACTCCCGTTTTAGATGCAGTTCCGGGATGGGTGGTTTGTGTACCACCCCCAGCCATTAGTTGCTACATTGTATAGTATTCGACCTCCTGGATGTAAATATCACTATCTTAATATCGATAACATGAACTACTATCTTGTGTCTGAGATTGAGGCGCTCATTAAGATCCTCCGCAGCTTCAGGAGAATGGATCAAATGTCGATACAGCATTGTCTATTTTGATCTGTGCACGCACGGACGTGACCAATAGTAGTTGCTGGAATTTCGACCGAGGTGGATTGTCGATAACCATTTACGCTGTGAAATTACCCGTGTTGATAGCAAAGCTTCCTCGCATTTGTGAGTATGTATGGTCGACCAGAGATGTCCATCCCTTGGGTTCGTCATTAGTTTACCATCATGGGATATGGTTACCCCTCGAAGTTCCAGAGCCGTTCTACAGGGGATTCCGTTAGACACGTTGAGTAGTTCCAGTCCTTGCAGTATGAAATTTCCTGGCTCCCCGCTTAGTCAGCTTGTCCGACTCCTCACTGCTACGGCTGTCCGTCCGTATTTAATGATAGTGCTGCGGGCGAGAATGTGGTTGTCACTCGCAACGATTTGCTGTCGGGCGTGACATGAATTCAATTCTTGACGATCCCACTCGGTTGTGTTGAACTGCAGAATTCGGAAGAATTCTTGAATCAAAGAGGTCTGAGTTGGTGACTTCTACGGCAATGAGCTTCAGCACCGGGCCATTTCTCAGACTCGATGAGATCGGCGACCTGAAGAGGAGATCGAGGCAAAGCAGACGTCTGCTTATCTCAGGTGAGGCGCAGGACTCTCAGGCACTCAGGCTGTGTTTTGTTATTTTGCGTCGCTACAATTTGAGAGATTGTTGAGAATGCGGTGACGGTTCCGGGCTTTGCGGTGTGGTAGAGACCAGATCTATCTGTGTGGGCTTAATGTGTAAGTTGTCTGAGGCCTGATGGTAAGTAAACCTGTGGCATATTGCAGAACTTTGCACAAAATCAGACATAAGTATTTTCCAGGGCGAGATCAGTCCCCTCCCCAACGGCATCCCAACATTTAATGTTCAGATTATGAATCTGTGTAGCGTAGGTTGTCCCATTTCCAATATACACGTAGCTTGCGGATGGTTTGCGTCAGCCAAACTAATCAATCCGGAGATTTTCAAAAGATTAGCCTTTAATGACTGCCTCGTGAATGACGGGAAGCCTCTGTATGGGGGTGATAGCATTTCTTTTGAGTATTCAAACTCATTTGAGTACCCCATGAGAGTCGAAACTGCCGATTTATGTAAACCGTAAATAAAATCCAGTAAATTGTATACCCGCGCCTCGAAGCGAATGTTATGGTGTACATGTGATGTTTGGCGTTTGTCTACCTGCACTCCATTCCCACGTCGCTCTCTTCTTGCACACCTTAGATTACGTACATCTGATCCCTCTGAGCAGTCAGTCCAAGCTGTTACACGAGACACCTTCGAGTAACATGAGCGGAGGTAGGACTGAGTCAGAACCGTCTTCCCTAGGTACTGAGGTATATCCGGGCTGTGAGTCGGCCGAGGACAACGTCGGATGCGGTGGCGTGGTCTCGGTCGACTGGACAACCCATGCCTCCCGAAATTCTATAGTATGGTCTGTTTACGATTCGAGACTTGCTCAACTGCAGGCATGGAGACGAGGCATGAGTATAAGAGCACGACACAGTCGTTCGCAGCTAATATCCGAGACTTAGATGCCCGTCGTGTGGGTAGAAGCGTCGTTGTTTCAAAACGGAATCGTCGTTTCGTAGCTAATAGTAAGTGCTGCTGCTCCACCCACGACTCCAGATAGATGATGCCATGTGTTACACTAGGTTGCAATTGTGATGGTGAGTAATGTGTTGTATGTGGTGGTATATTGCAGATCAGTGCTCAAACAAAGATATTAGCATAATTCAGAATGAGGAAACCAACGCTGGCATTCCTCGCTATGTGGTTCAGATAGTGAACACCTGCATCTCTGATTGTGCTCCGACAGACATACATGTATTTTGTGGTTGGTTTGCTTCTTCTCCTCTAGTGAATCCAAATTACTTCAAACGGCTAGCCTACAACGACTGCCTCGTGAATGGAGGCAGGCCGTTGGCTCCAGGAAGTGTGATTCAATTTCAGTATGCGAACACATTCATGTATCCCATGAGGTTTCGTTCTGCTAACTTTTGTTGAAGCGAGACACTCTGATAATAAAAGACTTATTATCTGCGATGTTGAGCCTTTCATTAGTGTGCCTGCAGTCTGAGCACGATCTAACCTTGATTTCAAAATCGGTTCTGATTTCCGAATCTTCTTCTTCCTACCTTTGACACCGTCTCGTCGATCGTGAGCCTGAAATGTTTCGTGTCATGTCTAGGTGGATGGTAGATACTTTGCTTAGAAAATTCATAGTGTTGCTGTTCACTCGCAATTCCAGGTAATAATTGTTCGTGTGCCAATGTTGTGCTATTGCAGATGTTTGCACAGATAAAGACATTAGCATTACCCAGAGCCGTGATGGCACAACCGGCATTCCACTTTACAGTGTTCAAATAACCAATACTTGCATGTCTGACTGTGCCCCTTCAGACATACATGTCAATTGTGGCTGGTTTGCATCTTCTCCTCCCCCCAATCCAAATGTCTTTACGCGCCTCGCGTTTAACGACTGCCTTGTGAATGGTGGCAAGCCTCTGCTGCAAGGTAACATCATTCAGTTCCAGTACGCCAATTCCTTCATGTATCCCCTTACCTTCAAGTCCGCCAAGTTTTGTAGAATCTGAACTGTTAGGGGTTGAGAAAATTTTGTAGATATTCATAAACCAGGTATAGGAAAGGAACTCTCCGAGAGACAATTATCTCCGCACATCTTACGCCCACGGCGCAGAGGTCGCGTGAGTTGTCATGTGCATCATATGCCACACGTTTGCATCCCTGCGAGTGTGTTAATTTTTGATCGATACGTACAGATGAGCGTCCCCTTTATGAACGGGACAATTCGAGTATAGAAACCACTTCTATCCAGGTCAGGTCGAGTGCCTGGTTTAGATGGTTCTCAATCGTGTTTACTTCTCCATATATATATAATATACATCCGATCTAACGAAAATTTTTTAAGTTTTGAGGCGAAAACTTCTCAGACGATCGTGTGATATATTTGTTTTCTCCACAACGCGTTTCTTGTGCTCAACTTCTCAATTTCAAGTGGTGTCATGCAAATCGTCGTCGATTACGATTCTAGGTGTGTCAGAAGATTCGTCTTGGTACGGCGTGGGTGGAACATGCTTGGTGGAAGATGTGAACTGTCATGCATTTTCCATGAGATACGTCATCCTAACTCATTGGAAATTTAGATGGGTATAATTCAGATAACTTTCGCTATCTGAACTACACGATTGTGTTCACACTCCGCGATTCTTGCAAATTGAAAATTCATGCAGCAGGCACTCGGTCTAAATTTGCATGTGCAGTTCCAAGTGCAGAAGATGCGAAATTCGCTCTCGTAGGGCACAAACTGTCCTTGGTACGAGAACTTGTATTGTGAATTGTGAATCCCATACAACATGAAACCTCTCTAGCTACATGGATAAGTCGGCAAAGCGAAGTATTAACACCGCTATGAGGATAAAGTGGAAACAGTGTAACTTAATGTCTAACACTTTTTCAAATCTTAAATGGAACATTTCAAATTTCACCTCTATTGTAAGTTAACTTCGACTGTAAACAGAACGTAACGTAGAAAAAATGAAGTATTAATAAAAGGAGGACAGTACAACTAAAACAAAAACCACATAACTGTGGTTTTGTATGTTATAATAATCTTAGAAGATAACAATCGGTAAGATGAAAGGGGGCGTACTTTGTGAACAGCGTGAACAATGTCAGTACTCGAGAAAAAAAGAGAGCAAATCCTGCTCACATGTGCATACGTTACCAAATATCGAATTCGTATATCCAGACCGTAACCATATACGGGCCAGTTTCTCAACGCCAACGTTTACCGACCAGAAAACCATGTCTTCCGCATACCACGGTCATGTTCGACTCTCCAAATTCGGGTTGATGGCATGAAGGAAGCATGGGACAACGGAATTGCTGCTGCCCTTCTGCTGTCTGAACTCACTGTGGATATTCCTCGGGAGTGCAACTACAACGGAATTCATTAATCCGACGCACAAGGCTCGTCTCGTCTCTTGGACTGTAGGCGTGTAGGTCAAACGAACAAGCCAGACGGATCTCATGTGGCATGGAACTCATCTCTCGCAGTCATTCAAAGAGTGTGATGCCATCTCCAGTGACCAAACTCGATTCCACCTCCGGTGACGAGGACCTCGTACCAAATTGCTCGGCAAACGAACCGATTCCCATTCTTCGCCTTGCGGGCGAGTGAGGAGGAGATGGAAGAAGGGTGGCAGCGAGCAATCAATCAGCGAGCAAGACAAGAAGCTTGTAATGGGAGGCAGTTTGGGCGGCGAGCCATAAAAGAGATGGAAGGAGCGAGGGTTTGAAAGTTGGCACCGGGTAATTGACCCTCCGGGCTCGGCACACCACTCTCGAACGCATTAAACGCGGGCCCCCAACACGTCTGACACTCGTTCTTTCTTGCTCTGTCCCTCGTTCGCTCGCTCCTTCGCTCGCTCAGCAATGGTTCATTCTCCGAGCCGCCATAGCATATCTGACATCCACACCCGCACTACCCGTCCTCGCCACCTATCTACTTCCCTGCACGCAGTCGGCTGCATCATCCATCTCCGGCGACGAGTCTCTGTCAATGCTCGTCTGTGGACGGAAGGAAGGAAGGAGGACCCCCCGCGAACGAGATAATCCGATGGGGGGCGGGGGAGGGGGAGCGCAATTAAGGACGGCAAAGTGGAGAAAGGCAAATAAATGACGGGTGGGGTAGTTATAATTACGTCCCTCTAATTACTTCTCACGGGCCTCGCTTCCCTTATACCCTCACGAGTCACGAGGCCGGGGCGGATTTATGTCTCCCTCCTTCCAGATGTGAGCAGTTCTACTTGTCTTCTTCATCGAACTACTTCAAACATTTTATTCCTCCGCTTTTAAGACAAAAGCGCAACCATCTTCTCCATTTGGCTTTTCTTCGTTCCTTTTTACGATGAGTGCGGTGATACCCAATTACCTATTATATATATATGTATATAATTTTTTTATAAATACGATACATACTTTCATAGAGCTTTGTTTAAAAATGTGGGATTTGTTACCTCCATAGAATACTAAGGATTTCGTTTCACTGTGATCATTGACTCGATACTCACTGGTAAGGATGTGTACTCCAGGGACACGAGTAATAGGAAGGCCCAGCTACCAGAAGGAAATTGACGTAAGCGTTTTAGGCTTAGTAATGGAAATAAATGTAATGGTAGAGTATGACTTCGACGCGTACAAGCAATGAACAGAAAACGTTTTTCCCCCTCTTTGATTACGTTTGTCGGGGACTATGAAAAATATTAAATTAACCCAATAACTTTGCTTATCTCTAGAAAGATGACTATTAATTTCATCCTGAATGAGGAATTTCTGTTGGACCTCGCAATTGATAGTACAGTGCCCTGGTATAGTATCTCTTGGTAAATATATGCGTATTGAATTTGTGCTATGGATCCACCGAAAAGTTTATCAACACGTATAGAGTTACTCAGAGCCAAAGTAGATTACGTCCAGTAGAAATCATAGATATGGTTTGGCGCGTTGAAACAATTTTAAACCCAATCGTTGATCCAAAATCTATTGCTAGTGTACCATTAGAAGGTGTACCAGGTCATATTAGGAATGCATGCCGTGTGAGAGCTTTGAATTGAAAAAATTGAAGCTTTTTTATGATAGAAAGAAGACTCAGTCACTCCATAGAAACTGTATTTGAGAATTAGGAATATGCTAGATCAGACAAAAGGTTGGCGGGTTGATATTAAAAATTAAATTAAAATAAAATCCTTAACTGAATTGTAAGATTTGAAATATTTGAGTTTCAAAAAAGACTCATTACGCAAGTTTTGCAGGATTTGAGTTCATTGCATGGAAATCGAGACAATCATCTAAAGTTGCATCTTCATATGCGTATCCATCCATCTTATCAGATGAGTTGGTATTTACGGATTTAAATTGATCATTTTCAAAAAATTAAGAAGCGAAAAATAAATAAATATAATAACGATGTGATCCAAGGTGCCCAAATCTGTCTATGCTAAGTATGATGTATCCGTCAAGTTGGGTGCACCTGTTCCTCATGTAAGTTAGGTGTCACTTCCCTTACCATCCGATACTAAATTTTGCCATAAATGATCAATATCATAGCTTCTAAGTCATCATCTTAAACAATCGCGATAAAAGAAAAAAGGGAAAAACTTTCATTGGATGTCTAATATCATGGTGTCTTGCGACCAGTGCTCTGTTCCATAAGACGGAAAGGATTAATGCAATATACCAAAGTAATTACTGTATCGGTTATCATCATGAAGTACCATTCGCCACCAAAAAACTTCACTCTGTTGTTAGAGTGGTAATATTTCTTTAACGAGTGATGGGTGTCTCTTATCTCGTTCTGAGTTTTGACATGTCCAGGTGAGCACTACCAAACGATGATATATCATGAGGTGAAGACGTATCATGAGATATAGTTGAGGAAGTAATGGAGTAATGAGGAGGGTGTACCGTAGAGGGTAGGAAGCAAAGACATGACATCTCTTTGTAGTCGTGGTGGGCCTTATATCATTCATGTACTAGAAGAAGCTTCGTCTCGTCCAATCACGAGCTTGTGAAAGACAGACATACATACTTCTCTCGACACTCCACTTGATGACGGTCTACCTATCACCCGGAGATATATCTCCGAATTGTTTCCTAATCATTACCTAATACTCGGATTACAATACCTAGATACATACTGTTGCAGGGCTCTGAATCGAGTATCCAGTCTAGAAGGAGCACGGAGAAGAAAGAGACATTCCATCGAAGTACGTACGATCGATCCGGTCAATCATAGCAGGAGTCCTCCCCAGCAATCAGTCAATCAAGTCCAGGAGAATGACATCAATACCTTGGGAGAGTATGTTGTGTCTCATCATCATCATCATTTCCATCCGCAGTATTTCACTGCTCTCGTCCACTTTTGCTTGTCCAGAGTCATATCTGATCAGTCTTCGTCGGATCTTGGAAACATGAATAAGGAGATCTGTAAATAACAAAAGTACCAAAAGAGGTTGTAAACCTCATTTGGTACAGGAAAAGAAGTGTATTACACCAACAATCTTAGATTGGATAGAATTGGCACTGAATTTCCACTAAATAGTCATGGACGAGTATCTTCATGAACATATATCTGGATCCAAAGAAAGATAAAAGTTAATGGTGAAGTAACTGCTACAAGACTGTGGCTCTGATTTTTATTCAAAATGATAGGAATTTGTTGTCAGATGTGTACCAAATGCGTGTAACCGTCGAAGTCTTCTCTACCTAAAATGAAAGGGATGTCGATAAAAATATCATAAATTCTTGAAGAACAAAACTGATAATAAAGTATTTATAAAGATAGATTTTACGTGGAAGGTATAAATTGCCAAAAATGGCTGCTCACTGCCTACATTTCACCAAACGATGAAAAATACCAACATCAGTTGTGATAAAACTACTCTCAAGCTATGAGTAAACTTGCTATGCTCTATAAATCTCATCAACGATGTCACATGTTTTACGTCGGGTATAGCTCGTGGTAAGGTGCTCTAGAAGAAAGAGTGTGACCAATGTAAGTCACACATCTCCATGATGAGTGATAATGTCCAATACATTTCAGTGTATGTTACAAACGAGTAGATTGGTCTGTTTTCTATTTCGTTGAAGAATTATATTTTCATTTCGTTATGAATTCTTAAAATTCACGAGGAAAATGACCTTTGAATACATGCATATCCTGGTTTTCCAGATTTGCCACGATCATAGTTTAGCTCTGTAACTTTATAAAAATAATAAAAAGTATGGCTGTACACTTTACAGTGAAAGATGTCTGTAAAGTGGGTGGGATCTAAACCATATCATTTTAAGTTTTGAAGAAACATTTCTATACTCTACTGTCATAAAAGATGTCATT